AAGGGGTTTGGTGTTACTGTTAAATCTCATGATAAAAAGTTTAATACTAATGATAAACCTTATGACAAAGAATCTGGTATTGATGGTAAATCCTCTGAAAAGATGTAACATGCATGATTTTGGGGAAAAGCTTTGGGACATGCTAAGAGTGGTAAAATTAGAACACACCTAGTGTTAAGAAGCCCTATGGTAATGCTGCTTCTCAGCTAATACCTGTAAATGGGCTTGAAGCTTGTCACAGCAGAGAAACCATAGAAAACCTGGTCTGCTGTGTGGAAGGGGAAACTGAGGCACACCACCTCATGGCATTGATGGCTACATGCTAAGATACCTACACTCATTAACATTAATATCTGCATTGAGTTAACAATGCTGCACACATACAAAAAGATAGTTTCTAGTAACCCAGAGAAGGCACACTGGCTAGCATTTGAGATCACTAGACTGATCTACAAAGTCCTAAAAGGTAAACAGAACTTTGCAAGAGCTCATGTGGTTAACACGACAATGTTTAGCAACACTTGAGAGTTGAATGGTCAAAAGCTGAAGAGGATCTTGGGACCCCTTCCTCCACATTAGTCAGTGACTAACACTCTTGCAGTAAACTAAGTGGGGACGTGTGACACTCTGTACTTCAAAGTAGCACCTGGAACCCCCATATTCACCACTGTTGACAATTCTGATATTTTTGTACAAAGTGTGCTTTTTGAGGTATCATTTTAAGTCTTGATCTGCTAAATATTAATATCCTGTTGATTTGTATGTTGCGAAGGAGTCACGGGTCCGATGCTCTGGAACTGCTCTGTATGAAGCCAGCCAGGACTCTGGGTAGCGTGACTCCCTCGGGGCAGGCTGTCCAGGGCAAAAAGCCTCCTTGGCTACAGCCTTCCTGGTCTGATCTTGGAGAATTCAGCATCCCTGTTCACACCTCACACTGTCCCTTGGTGGATCCACCTGGACGGGATCCCTGGGGAAGCCACAGGGCCCTGCACCCCCTCTCTGCAGTCAGTTGTAACTCTCAGACATCGTGTAAGACAGAAGTTTTAGTAGTCGACAGGAACACACCGTAGAACAGAGCTTGTTAGCACAGAAATCAGTGACTTACAGCCAAGTCCATCTTGGCGGGACCCCAGGCCGGATACCCTGGACTCCCCCCTCTAAGTCCCAAACAGGAGACTGCCCAGCTTCCAGTGACCCGGCCTCCAACACGCCCATTGCCTCTCCTCCTGATCTTTGTCTCGCTTCCCAGGCAAAGTGTCACCTGGTCACATACCCCTCCTGGGTCTCAGGTTATGAAGGGCACCATCCATCCCTTAAGTACAGGGAGGTGGAGCCATCTCACCTGCCCCAGAGGGTCTCAACAATTCACACACCCTTATTCCCACCACCTAGGCATTGGTGCAATACACAGGGAAACTGAGACATTCACAGTATTCATGCGTAACAGTAAGACTCATATAGGCTCACGTACAACATAATAAGAGGGGAAAATCCACTTTGTCCCATATGTGCTAGCATTATAGGTGAAGTTATGAAGTATTGCTGTATGTGTCACTGAAATACCTTGTGAGGTTGGGAGCACCCACTACCAGCCTTTCAGTTACAACAAAGGAGTAGCCATCAATAGCCAGATGGCATTAATGGCTCATCAACACCCAATCCACTATCCCAGAGGCTTCTAGGAGAAGGCACATACACCATGGGGGCCGACTAACCCACATCACAGCAAAGATCTTTCCACCAAGCTGGAAATAAAGTATAAAAGAGGGGAAGTGACATCATGACTTGGTTTCTCTCCCCAAATCTCAACACCTGGAAGAACATCTTGAAAACAAAGACTTTGAACTGGGGACGGGTGGTCCTAGGCTGGAAAAGAGTCCCAGTCTGTGTATTGAGGATCTGTGACCTGTTTGTACCCTCTGTCAGGGTGAGACACGGCTTGATTCAAATCCTGTTTAGTTTGTAGAACTCAGACTTGAATTTATTTTTATTTCTTAAGGAACCAACTTTGAGCTCTACACTTGCTACTTATAATCACTTAAAAACTGTCTTTCTGTAACTAAAAATCTTATTTTAATGTTTTATCCTTCCCAGTGAGTTTGTCTAAAGTACTGGGGAAATCTGCTCAGGTTACAAAGGCTGGTACATGTCCACTTTCATTTGAAAAAGTGGCAAACTAGGTAATGAACTTACGCTGGCCAGGCTTCTGACCAGTGCAAGACAGTACAATTCTAGGGTGCAAGGCTGGGGAGCTGGGGGAGTTGGCTGGAGCCTCCCTTTTGTAGGTTCATGAGTGCCTGGCAAAAACATTCATGTACCTGAGTTGTGTGTGTTCCTGCTGTGGATGGAAGTGTAAGTTCAGTGCTTGTCAGAGGCTTGTAGCTTGACATCAGCATCACAGTGTGAGAGGCAGCCCAGGTTGGTGGGACAGAGGGCTCAGTGGTCTCACAGTCCAGGTTGCACCCCGGGGACCCTGACACAGAAGGCATTTGCCAACCTGCCACACGACTTTCGGATTGAGAAACTGTAACATCAACAAAAACAACAAGGAGTTTGGTGGCACCTTAAAGACTAACAGATTTATTTGGGCATAAGCTTTCATGGGTAAAAACCTCACTTCTTCAGATGCAACATCAACATGCCCCATGTGAAATGGGTTAAAAACTGGTTTGCCAACTGAGCGCAAAATGCAATGTCTTGCCCCCCTCCAGCCAAGATGGGAGGTGACCTTTGCAGATGCACCTCTGAACTCTGGGTCTGCGCTGACCAAGGAGAACAACTGTGAGTGAGTGCAGTGAAATGAGGGGCACGTTAATGGAAGTTTTGGTTGCTGAACTTAAGAACCTGAGGTGAAAGGACACTGCCCAACGTACTCTGCGGTGGGGCTTTTGCTCATTGTTTTATATTTATGAATCCTTCTTGCGGCATTTTCCCAAGTTAGTGCTGGGTCACTTCCATCCTTTTATTAATAGTTTCTTTTCTACACTTAGACCCTGTGCTTGCAAGTGGAGAACTATTGCCTCTGAGAGCTGCCCGGGGGGTGGTGTGTAATTCTCCTAGGTTACCAGGTGGGGCTTGAGCCGGTTTTGTGTTTTATTGTTGACAAGGAACCCCTAGATATTGAACCCGGCCCTTGTTACTGCCAACTCCAGCTGGCAGAAGGATTACATAAGAAAGTAGGGAAATGTGTTTTAGATGAAATTACTATCAGGTGGAGGGAGAACTGGTTGAAGTACCATATTCAAAAAGTAGTTCTCAATGGTGTGCTGTTAAAGTGGGAGGGCGTTTCTAGTGGGATCCCACAGGGGTCAGTCCTGGGTCTGGTACTGTGCAATCTTTTCAATAATAACTTGGATAAAGGAGCGGAGAATATACTTATCAACTTTGCAGATGATACCAAGCTGGGAGGGGCTGCAAACCCTTTGGAGGACAGCATTAGATTTCAAAATGAAATTGACAAATTAAAGAATTGGTCTGGAATCACCAAGATGAAATTCAGTGAAGACAAGTGCAAAGTACTTCACTTGGGAAGGAAAAATCAAAGGCACAGCTACAATCTGGGGAATAACTCTCTAGTTGGTAGTACTGCTAAAAAGGATCTGGGAGTTATCGTTAGGTTTCCATGTCTGTCATGGAGGTCGTGGAAGTCACGGATTCTGTGACTTTCCACAAACTCCATGACTTCTGCAGCAATGAGTGTGGCTAACCCCATGTGCCAATATATATTTATGTCTGTATCTATAATTTTCACTCCATGCATCTGAAGAAGTGGGTTTTTTACCCACAAAAGGTTATGCCCAAATAAATCTGTTAGTCTTTAAGGTGCCACTGGACTCCTCCTTGTTTTTGTGGATACAGACTAACATGGCTACCCCTCTGATACTTGGTGAATAGATGGGGATAGATGGATGGGGATAGATGTTTAGATCGGTGGATGGATGGGGATGGGAAGATGTAGATCAATTTTTTGGTGGCTAGAACTGTTTCAAACCTCTCCCACTTTTGTCCCGGAAGTTGAACCTCTGGAATCTGGATAGTTGATTGCTCAGATTGTTCTTCTCCTTGTATTTCCCTCTGCATCTCTGTCCCAGCAGGCAGGGACCTCTCCAGCCCTGAGGGGGTTAATTTCCCACTGGCACCCACCAGACCCTCATTCTACATGAAATCAGTAAACTCAGGTGTCCTGGTTCCCAGCTTAGCACATTAACACAAGCCCACCTTCCCCCCGTAGCGGCTAATTCGATTCTGGCCCTGGCGGATGCAGCAGCTGCTCTGGATTTCATGGCTCGAGTTCATCGCTCAGTCACTGAGTCACTTTTGTTTGTAAATTCATTTTTATTCATTGCTGGCTACGAAGCAGCGAGCGACATGCAGCAGGCCAAGCAGCAGGGCAGGGCAGGGGAGGTGGGAAGGAGGCGATCAGTAGCCTTCGCTGAATTCCCTTCCCATTGGCCTGGCTGGCGCTGGGAACAGGTGTGTTTGGAATGGGCGGTGGCCAACCCGAGAGAACTAACCAATGGGAAAGGCCCAGTGAGGACAGGGCAGGCTGCTGTTTTAACACAACTTAGCAGGACAGGTACCCATTACCAGCTTAGAAGGACAGATAACGATGAGCATCTCCCATAAACAGTCACTCGACCAGCTGACATGAGGGGAGAGATACAAACTGCCGGGTCTTCCCCAAGATTTGGCTCATGTCCGTCACCCCGGGGGAAATAAACCAGCTATTTCTCTAGCCAAGAGGCAGCCGAAGGGTTGGGATTCCCAAGGGAGCCAAAGGGTGCTGGCCTTGAACCTGACTCCTAACTCCCCTGGGCTCCCTGCCTTGATGCTCATGGGCTGGGCACTGCCTGAGTGGAGCGATGTCTGGGGCAGTTAGTGGGGGGTGGGGCTCAGTCTGGGGGGCGCTCAGCCCCTCTGCAAAGCAGGGCTTACATCTGGGCCAAGCCAAAGGACAGAAGCGGCGCCTCTCCGGCCTGTGCTGCAATTCCCAGCTTGGCTCAGGGCTGCAACTTCCTCATCATCTTCTTTATCCAGGGGATGAATGTGGAGATTCTTGTGTACACTCCGGGAGCTCTGCAAGGCCCCCAGGAGACGATGCCCTGGGCTGTTTCCTCACACACCAGGGGTCCTCCAGAGTCGCCCTGCAAAATGGAACAAGCCACAGATGCAGAACAGCTCAGTGAGTCATTTCCTGCTGATGCACAGCTCAGTGACACCCCCCAGTGAAGCTGGACCCAGTATCACCCCTGATGTCCCCCCAGTCTCTGCTTGGCCCCCCATGGCCCAGCTGGTCTCAGTTCCCCACCCAGTCCCCTATCCAGCTGGTCTCTGTCTCCTGTTGAGAGAAGACCAGTTAGTTTGCCATTCATTTGTACAACACGTAGTGCTGTGGGGCCTGATCCCCGATCGCCACTTGTGGGCTTGACTGCCACACCAACAGCCTCATTAATAATAACCATTTATCAAGGGAGCTCGAAGCCAGGAACAGATTTACCTGTGAAGAGTCTTTGCCCTGTGCTGGGTTCCCCACACACATCATGGTGGAGGGGTTATAGTTATCATATGGCCCATAAGGCTTCTTTGGACATGCGTCATCCGGCATCACCATCACCTCCACCTCCTGGAGTTTGTCCGGGGTCGATTCACTCTCTGTGCTAGTTCTGCCCCAGCCGGCAACGCTGCACACGTCCCCTTCCTCTACTCTCTCGTTGGTGCGGGGCAGGTTGATGGTACCCACCCATGTGTTCAGCTTCGCTCTCTTTGCTAGCTGAGACACAAGAATGATGAAGATCAATGTCAGAGTTGTGCTCAAGAACAAGGAGACATCCCATGCTCAGCAAAACCCATAACTATGGGGTCAGTGGGTGCGATGGGATGGGGGGGTTTTCTGCAGCAATGAGAGGTCACAGGGGGTGGGGTGATAGGATGGGGGCAGTACCTGCAGCAGTGTGATGTCAGTGGGGGTGGGGTGATGGGATGGGGCAGTACCTGCAGCAGTGTGAGGTCATTAGGGGCAGCTTGATGGTGTGG